ATATGCCTTTAAGCTTAAAGCTACACCATGAACCCGAACATCCAATATGTGTCCGTGGAGGGTCGCAACTTCAGAACAACAGCCAACTTGTGCAAGCTTCCGTCCGCAGCATTTTTCTCGAAGCACACGTAGGCTACCGTCTGCTCGCTCTGCTGAAACAGCCCGAACTAGTCATTACTTCTGGGTGTTTGTCAAAAAGCTTGACGTACTCGTATTCGAGAGCCCGTCAAACTCTCGTGGCGCTTTGCGGGCCCCAAGCCAAATTAAACCCGAAGCCCTCTCGCCACTAACCCAAAACCCCAAGCCCGAAGCCCTAAACAACGAACTCTTTAACCCTTCAGCCCTGAACCCCAAGCCCAGAATTCAAAACCCCGCAAACCACAAAGACTGAACCTTAATCTCTTTGCGTAATCTCTTTGGGCTGCGCCTTTCGGGTTCGCTAGGACTAAGCTCGAGCCTTCCGCCTTGGTTGCAATGGGTGTCTCAACAGCACATGACGGCTGTACGACCGTCGAGGAGAGCACCTGCCCAAATCCTAAGCCGGGTTTCGGGTTTAGGGGCCTTGGGGTTCCTTTAAGGTTTCGGTTTAGGGTTTAGGGTTTAGGGTTTAGGGTCTTATCAGAGGGCCACTAGATCAGGGCTCTGCAAGGGTTTCGGCGGGGATCCTCAGATGTATAGCTCCTTGGGTCTATGTAGGCATTCAATGGAATCTTTCTACGGTGACCTTATGGCCATTCTACCTACATGCTCACATTAAAGCCTAAACCCTAAACCCTAAACCCTAAACCCTAAACCCTGAACCCTAAACCCTAAACCACCCACATGGACCCTACTATTAGTATCCGGACCCCCCGGCGAGCCAAGCTCTACCAGTGGCAGATTCTGCCCAAGACGTATCCTTCTATGAACACACCTGGGGTTGAGGGTTTAGGGTTTAGGGTTTACGGTTTAGTGTTTAGGGTTTAGGGTTTAGGGTTTAGGGTTTAGGGGTTGAGGGTTTAGCCTTTTGGGGTTTGTTGTTTGGCTTGGGGTTTAGGGTTTGGGGTTTAGGGGTTGAGGGTTTAGCGTTTGGGGCTTGTTGTTCTTCTCATACCTGAATTTCATACTGTTCATGATATAAATCCTGCAATGCCTTAAGGACCCTCAACTATGGGAATTACGGTAAATTCCTTGTTTTGGGTAATGCAGGGTTTATATCATCAATCGTAGTCATACACCCTAGGCCCTTACATTCCCTGCCCATAGCATCCGTTAACGCTATGCCGCTACCTTTGGGTCCGAAAAGCCTACTGTTTTTGGTGTTATACCCGACTGTCAAGGGGTCAGGGTTTGGGGATACAGGTAAGCATCCAGAAAACACCTCGGTACATCGATTTTACATATTCTCCTTATATACAGGCATTCCCCTTTTTCGGTAAGCCAGGTTCGTGGTTAATTACGATCCTGTGAGAGCACAAGGCAGCCAAAGAGGTTTCCTGGACCTGGGCCGAAGAACAGCCCAGAACAGGTGCTAGCACTAAGCAAGGTAGACACTATCTAGCTTCTTTTCTTCTGGGGTTTCCTTACTTGTCTCAACCAGAAAGTAGGAAAGCGGGTACCCTTATTACTAAGGGGCTACTGGGGAACCTAGCAATAATATTGCGGCCGGAATGACTAGTAAGAGCATTCCTTACCTTTCGCGATGATGAGTATGGCATGATTTATCCCCCAGAATCTTTGGCCGGTACATTAGGTGTTGTCTGACGACTTGCAGCCGGCTTGGGGGTTGGCATTTAGGCTTTCTCGGGCTTATGCATTGGGTTTAAGGCTTCCCTAAACCCTAAGCTTTCAGGGTTTGTTGGACCCTAAACCCTAAACCCTAAACCCTAAACCCTAAACCCTAAACTTTCAGGGTTTATTCGGGCTGAGGGCTCCTAGGTTGTTCCAAAATACCCCGAAGCTCCAATCTCCACACCTTAAGCCTTGCGTCAACCCTACCTTAAACCACCATAACCTAGTGTTTCATGGCAGGTGCTCCTCAAAAAACCCTAAGATGGAGTTGATATAAGGATCCTACAAAAAAGGTAGGTTCTGGCAAGTTAAAGTACTCAACCTTCCCTGTAGCCTCAAACCCTGAACAAGGGTAGGTTATGACCATTTCATGACCGGGTATAGCCCCTAAAACAGTAGGTTTTCGGGATCCCCAGCCAGATCCTAAACCCTAAACCCCATCAGTGGCCTTCCGTGCCAGTCCCTTGAACGCGCTGCGGGCTTTGGGGTCCTCCCCTCTCGCGGCGGAGACACGCCAAGCCGTCACAGAGGCAGCCTGGGCTCGTGCAGGTCCTGTCGGGTTTAGGGTATTACCCGAAGGCTCCAGACTTAGGCCTTAAAGGGGTCCCTGTATAGGTGCTTTAAGGCTTAAGTACTGTACCTACTATATGGACGGGGACATGGAGCCTTAGGGTTAGGGCGGCTAAAGCTTTTGACGTTCTCAGAAAGACACGATTAGTCCTAGTAGTGGAGTAGGCAACCCTGGACCGCTTTGGGGTATGAAAATCATATACAATCCCAAAGGTTAACCTTCAGTTCCCTCCTGATACCGGACAATTAGGTAGTTGAGAAATAAGTTCCATAAGCCTGAACTTCTGCGGCGCGCCGCAATCTGATTTTCGGTATGTTCCTCAATTCAGTGGTTTCGAGTCGCTGGGTTTCCGTTTGGAGTTCAGGGCTGGGGGCGTGGCTTCTGGCTTGGGCCAATGTAGGGGCCTAAATAATTAAAACAGGGTTTTGGGGCCCTCTATATACTATATTGAATATAATCACGAAGTTAATGAACCTTTAGTTTGCCTAGGACACTCCTAAACCCCAACCCTAGCCCCTAAGCCTCAAACCGAAACCTGAACCCTGAACCCTAAACCCTAAACTCTATACCCTAAACCCAAACCCTAAACCCTAATCCCTAAACCCTAAACCGAAGCCCCAGGTTAAACAACTACCCACGAAGAGTCCCCAGCTGCGAGGCCTTGCCGGTGCTCCGAAGGGAGCCGAAGCTCATCACCTCACTTCTCAAGGGGCTCGCAGAGGCAGGTTTAGGGTTTAGGGTTTAGGGACTAGGGTTTAGGGTTTAGGGATTAGGGATTAGGGTTTAGGGTTTAGGGATTAGGGTGTAGGGTTTAGGGTTCAGGGCGGACGCACCCGGAGAGTTGAGGGCTCAGGGTCTACTACTTAGGTTTGGGGATCAGAGTTATGGGGTTCAGAGTTGAAGTTTTAGGGCTTAGGCTGAAGGACTTGGAGTTAGGGTTTCAGGCTTCCGGTTAGGGTTTAAACTCCGAAGGACTCCAAAACCCTTCACAAAATAGGAATGAAATCATACTTGAGAGCCCTCTATCATTCAAGGTCTACTCCTTAAGCGCGGAGTGCTGGAGATTTTTGGGTCTAGGGCCCGGTCAGGGCTTACAAATTAAGCTGACCTTCAAGATCTCAGATAATTAAGGGTACCTGGTGGGTAGCAGAGAAAAGGGTCCATATCATATTACTATTATGGAATTAGGTCCCCCGAAACCATGACGACGATTGTTTTCTTGGGTGCCTACTTCCACAATAATAGTATATATGGAGCTACCTGGCATAATGTAGAGTTCCATGGTTCGGGGTTTGTCTTTGAAGAGATCTCAGGATGCGGCGGTCGAAACAGAAATGGTAAGGGGCTTTCGCTGTCAAGCGTTACTACTACTCCGAACGGTGTGTATAGTATATCAGAAAAACTCAGACGCTTTTAAAGCTACATGCTAATTACGAGGGGCTACGAGCGTAAGCTGTTGTATTTGTATACATATACACATACTACATACCTACCTACATACCTACCTACCTACCTACCTACCTACCTACCTACCTACATACCTACCTACCTACCTACCTACCATACCTACCTACCTACCTACATACCTACCTACCTACCTACCTACATACATACATACATACATACATACATACATACATACGTGCATACATACTTACATACATACGTACATACATACATACATACATACATACATACATACCGATATATATATATATACATGTAACTTGGCTTGCTGAGTTTGTACTTGAGAGCTGTCGTGTGCGAAGCTATCAATCATATACTCCCTTAAAACACTATCCTCCATCAATCACTACTACCGTTTTATAGGCCCTGAGGGTGAGGGTTCCCTCTGCGGTATAGCAGTTCTCCTTTGTAGCTGAATGAGTACACCTTGTGTTATATGGATAATCGTATACCCTACCTAAAGTGCATACCCCACCCCTTTGCTAGGGTACCTGCCGTTAGGGTCCGGATCGGGTACATAGAAACACAGGTGCCCTGAAAAGTGGGAAGGGTATGACCCGCACGGTATCGAACTGAATTTCTAAACGCTAATTGTTTTTGCGCCCTATGAACTCAGCACCCCAAGATTCACCTCCTGCATTCGTTAACGACAACCTCCAAGGTAATCTAGCGATCTTCGATATTCTAAATTTGCTTTCAATTTCAGGGTGTAAAAGAACTAGAAACATGCAGGGATTGTAAAGGGTACGAGTATACTACTTACGCGATGTCCTTATTCATGGGTTCAGATGGGGGTGCTGCCAGACAGGCATGCTGTGCGATGTTGGCTCAATCAGTCCAACCTGCTGCAGCACCTGAAATGTTGCATCCATCGGCTTGAGCCCGAGACAGCTTCAATCCAAGCAAATTCCGGGAATACGGACTTCGAGCGCGTACGTTGGGTTTTGGCACGGCAGGGGATGCTCAAGGGTTCGTCCTGGCTTCGGAGTGTTGTAGGGATGATAGAGAGCGGATAAACCACAAATTCCCAAACATCTTGCCTGAGCAAAGTACCGTAAACTATATAGCAGAACCGTGAATGTCTGTGTCAAAAATGCCGTAAACCGTAACCCCTAAACCCGGAATGTTTTAGTTCCTGATGCTTCCTCAACGGATTTTCGAGTCTCTGAGCATTTGCTAACGCGTGGCCACAATGCAGCCTTTGCTGGCAGAGATGGCTCTGCTCCCCTTGAGACCCGAGATCCAGGTGTGCAGCATACGGGGATCAGGGGTTAGGACTTATTATAGGCTTGAGGGTAGAGGATTTCGGGTACAGGGTTCAGGGTCCAGAGTATAGGATTGAGGGTTTAGGGGAACCCTAAACCCTAAACCCTAAACCCTAAACCCTAAACCCTAAACCCGTGCCGGGCCACAGGAGCTGAGGAACCAGAAAGTGAAGTTTTTATAAGTTTCGGAGTTGAGTCTGTTGCTTTGGGCGAAGATTTTGGCTTGTTAGTCAGAAACCCTGGGGCTCCAAATAGCCCAAAGTATGTATTATTTACAAACCCTAAACCCTAAACCCTAAACCCTAAACCAGACTTTAGACCCCAAAGTAGGTACGATTTGTATACTTGGAGCCCTAAAAAAATACTGTTTTGTTGTAGGTGGTTGGTTGGTGAAGGGACACCGATGTGTCGTCTCTGGTGTCCTTACATGCGTGTGCTTTGAATCCCTCAGCCCTAAACCTTGACAAGAGACCCTAAACCTGAAAGCTTCATCCTTATAAACTGTAAACGACTCCACAAAAGACCCTAGGCCCTAAACCCTATAAGCTCTAAACCCCAAAACAATCCCCAAGCCCGAAAGCCGAATATGAACCCGCGCCAAGAGATTCCCAGTCTGACCATTCATGGTTAAGGGTTTGGGTCTAGGATTTGGTTCTGTGGCTGCAGAGCGGTGGATGCAATGTCCCCAAAGATCCAAAGTATCCGAAAGGTGAGAGCCGGTTTTCTACAAATTAAAAAATATCAGCATGGTTTCTGTAGGTATCCGCCATATGGGTACATATAGGACCTTCTGGGGTGTTTCAGGTTAGGAAAGTTTGAAGCGTATTTCAATAAGGTTCCTTTTCGAATGAAATCTAGCCTTGGCTACATTGCCATTGGGATCCGCTGCCCGACGTGTTTTGCCTCATGTGTTTCTTGGGTTTTAGGATCGGCGAGCCCCAAGCCTAGGGCCGCTTGTGTGGAGCGTTTTGGGTTCTTCGGATTCTGCACCAATCACGAAGGCACATTCTTTACACCCTAAACCCTAAACCCTCCTCCCTTGAGAGGTTCCTGGCCAGAGCGTCTTTCTCGACACCGCGAGCCTGGCTTCGGCTCCCTTTGGCCCTGGTGGCCAGAAGGCCGGTTTAGGGTTTTGGGTTTTGGG